TTAAAGATAAGGTTTTAAAACTCCTTTCATTTACTGAATACATTTTAAGACCTTCAATGAAATATAAGACATGAGTCTGGTGGTTTGGGTTTTTTTGTTGTTGTTGTTTTTTTTATTTAAATAAATGTATTGAAATACCAGAGTATAAACTGGGAGAATCTGAATACACTAAATATACTATGGAAGCCTGTTTTCCTTCCCTTGTACAATGTTGTGGTACTCTGCTTTTACCTGAAATCAGTGGAGTTATAGTGAGATATATTAGGAGTTACATAGAGGTAAATTCCCATTGTAATGTATTTGCTAGAAGTACTCTTACTTAATGTGATTATCAGATGAAATGCTTTTTGCCTTACATTTTAACTCACATTGAAAAAGAATTACCCTGGTGTTCAAAAGCAAGTGTGTATTTTAAGCATAAGAATATTCTCATTGACCTGAGTTGGATTTTTCGTGTAAGGCAAATATGTTCATGACTGGTTTTTTATTTGGGATGTTTAATAACTTGTGCAGGCATACGAGTTATTTTTTGGGGAAAGCCCAGTTTCTGAGTTTACTTCACCAAATTCCTGAGCAACAATTTTGTCCCAAAGTCAGAGCTGTGAAGAAATAACCTTGGGAAAGGGCTTTCAGTTAGCAAATTTGTATCATTTTATATCCACTGTGTCTTAGTTCAGAATCTTGTGTTTATTTCTGATTTCCAGAAACAACAAACATTTCCGTTTGAGAACTTCTTTCATCATTTAGGCATACCCGATATTTTTAGGGATGTGGAATTAGTAGAGATATTTGATTTGATCATACTGTGCATTTTTGTGAATTCAGACATGTTACTGAGAACAGCAACTACTTCTTTCCTAACTTGTGGATGAATGCTGTTTTTCTTGAATGTTGTTCATTCATCCTTGTGGATGTAGACTGTCACTACTATAAAGCTTCTCGTCTCCAGCTTTTTTATTGATTCTTTCCCCATTGGAGTCTTGTTGTTTTGACTGAATCACCAGAGCAGTGGTTCTCATTCATGATTCTTCTGCAACATTAGGTGTTTGATCATTTTTTTTCTCTTTTAAGTTTCCTTCACATCACCATGACTACTTCAAGTCAGACTACTGGTCTGACTTCTTTCTTCTGCTCTTCTTCCTGTCTTTCAGGCTCTTGTCTGCCTTGCCTAGTCTTCCACAGTTTGGGAGACTACTTCTGTGGCTTTAGGTAGCACATTTTGGAAAATAAACCCCAGATGCTCAGCCTTTAGCTGTTGGTCTTATTTCTTCAGCTTTCTTTTAACTCTTCCCTCTAACCTCTTGCTCTGCTGCAGTCTGTCCTAAAAGGCTTTTTATTTTCCCTCCAGTTTTTTTTGTACCATATCCTCTCACTTTCATCACACATGACTGCACCATCCTTTCCAATGCCCCAATTTTTATTATTCTTCTAGTTCTCCTTTTTGTGGACAGTGCATGTCAGACTTTCATCTCTTAGTGCCAGATCCACATTTTTAGCTTCCAAACCAAAACCTGTGTGCGTGCTTGTTATCTCTTTGCCTTGATATAACCTCCTCCTGCCTCAGCCACCTTCTCCCCTTCTCCATTCTCTGCTTGATGCAGCTTGTCCCCGCAGCCACCGTGGGCCACAGGAGGTATGAAGGGTACGGCTCCGTGGGCCTCGCTGACACTGCGGGTTCATACGGGCTGAGCACCTGGCCTGTCACAGTGCATCACCTCACTGCTGTCCCTTAGGGTGTCCGCAGCTGAGAAGAATGACAAATGGATGTATGCTGGTCTGATTTTAAAGGGTTAAGTATCCAACACTGTTATTCAAAATGCATTTGTAGCCTGCCTCAATGTTAAACATACCAAAACAATAATACAGCTACGGTTACTGTTTTTCCTGCCATATCCAGCATGCTGGTAATTTGTAGATCAGTAGTCTCATGTGCTTTTGTAGCATTCTTACTGCTCACCATTCCAGATCTTCTCAGATTTATGTACAGACTTTCCCATTCAAATTCAATTATTAATCTAATAAGTGGTAACAAAACAATAAAGCTCATGTATTTAAACTACATTGGCATGTAATAGCTGTGTCTAGGGACCTGGCCTTCTTGGATACAGTGAGTATAGTGACCTGCAGCTGTTTTCTTCTAAATCTCTTTTTAAAAAAATATTTGCAGAAGTCTGTATTTTTGATTTCTTGCTCTCCTGGCTTTAGAAGAGTCATGAAGTATTTCTCATACTAATGAGACAGAATGAACTCTGGTGTTCCTCATGGTATCTGACTGTAGTTTTCACTGACACCTTCACCACTAATCACATATCTGTATTTCACAGAACATTAGTAAAGCTAAATATTAAACATAAGTCCTAGAGATTGCGTTGTGGCTGCATTAAGAGTTTCTGGAGAGCATCCCATTAGGTTCTCAGTGCACTGCAGTCTTAAGATCTAATCAGCATCCCTCTTTGGATTACAAGGAACCCAAAGAAGTTGTTATCCTAATCTATGTATGATCTTATAATATTTGACTTTCCAAAGCCACAATCAGTGCCCTGTCAAATACTCCATAGCACAAGTACATTTGCAGAGAAATAAGCCAAGTAATTGACCTGACAGGATGAGCAACCACTTCCTTTTGAATAGATACTTTGTACACTTAAGGCTGTGATGTGACTGTGTGAGTGGAAAGTTCAAATGAACGTTTAATTCACAAGAGAATATATGAGAGAGAGAGCGTTTTGGATTGATGCAGAGGTAGCAGTTCACTTAGGGCTTTCCTTGTGTTGTAAAATGGATGCTCACAGTTTGGTAGTCTATAAACATAGTTGAGGCATGAGACACATTTGTGCCCACCTCTTGGGTGCGTGGAATAGGTACCTTTCATAAACACATGCACTAAACCAGAAACACTGCAGTACATTGTGTTGGAAAACTCTGCTTTTTTCAACCTTTTGCTGTTAAATTTGCAAATACTGTCTTAGCTTAAGTTATTGTCTTTTAAAGTGATCATGCCGCTTGAATTACTGCTGTTTTCATCAGTTTCAAATTTGTGGTTTTGTAACGTGTCACAAAACTTATCTAAATAGTCTTAGGGCCTCTGCTGCTTTTTCTCAGATAGGATATAGCATAGTGCCTCGCTTGGTTCCCCGGGTACTTTACATGCTTGAGCCAGCTTTTAGATAACAAAGTGCTGGAACCTCACATGAAGGGTGAGATCTATTGTGTGCTGTGATCTATGTGTTCAGTTGCCAGATTCAGTTTGATTTGAATGGGTCCAAGGTTTCACCCTGAGACTCCAGGCTATGGTTGCCATTGGGAAGCTGTAAAAGGCAGCCCCAACTTTCTTGAATAATTCTTTCTGAAGTGAATGCTGGCAGTGCTTGAGGTAGGACTGCTTCCATAAACAAAGATAACTTGTGCAGGATATAAGTCCTGTTTATAATTCTGCTCTGCTGGCACTGAGACTGAGCTTACAACTTCATAATGATCTGATCTTGCTATAAGAGTCACGCAATCTATGGGTCAAACTGCCAAAAAAATCCCTGGAAGGATCTCCCACGATGGGGGTGAGTACAGTGTGTTCATCCTGCTCCTGGCCTGGATTATTCCTGTGCTAAACCAGCCCCCTACTCCAGAAGAGCTGTGGGGAGAGATGGAGTCATCCCTGTCCTCATCTTCATGTACCAATTTGGGAAACAGTTTGTACTTGCTTGTTCCCATAGCTGTGGATTTTAATCTTGATTTAGGACATGAAGGAAGATTCGTGCCCCTCTTCACCTTTTAGTGAGCAGGTCGCTTGTGGTTTGCAGTATTGTGTCTGCAATATGATCATATATAGGGTAGTAAAGTGACTGTTGCTTACCACAGTTTCCTTTCTGTCTCCCTCAAGAAACCAGCAAATATAGTACTATAGCTTCTGAAAAATACCAAGAATGATTATAACAATGTTCTGGAGCTTGATGTTTGTGCCAGTGATGTCACTACATCAGGAGATGTTATAAATAAATAAATAAAGTGTGATATCTTTTTAGCCTTCAGCTCAGCCTATGCAGGTGGCTTTGCATTCTGTTTACAAGCCATACCCAAGCCTTATTCAATCCAAGCCTGAGTGATCCTGAATTGCTTAAACCAATTATTTCATATTTTTTATTTAGGGATCTCATTGTGGCATTAGCCTTTTTTTTCTTTCTTTCCTTCCCTGTACAAAAACAAGTATATGAGAGTAAGGATACATGGAGTAATCAGGCAACAGACATATGCTTTCCTGTGCTCTCTGCAGGGCTTGCAGGTTCAAACACAACCTGCCTGAATCATAAGAACTTTAATTGAGTAGATAAAGAGGTCCTCATAATTATAAACTGCAGTAGGTATAACAAGAGGCTAAATACATAGCTGTGGTTTTAATTAGCTGGTGCTTCAAATTAGTAATTGTGGTTTCACTCAGAAATCAGTGACTTTATACACTGTTAAAGCCTCATCACTGTGCAGTTCATTCCTCATTATATCTCTCGGTGTGAAGCTTTCAATACAACATCATGCTGAGCTAAAAAGGCAAAAGTTGTAGATATTTGGTTATCTTCCAAGTGCAGTGGAGCTCTATGGAGATTTAATTCATTCTCGCCAGAGAAAGGAGAATTAACTGTTTTTTGTTACGTATTATATATATGTATGTTTGTATGTATGCGTTCGTACCTAGAGGGTGTGCATGGATGTGTGCATGCATGTCCAGAATCTATCAGGGAAATAGTGCTTACAACAGATAACATCAGTGCATATACTGAGTCTGCTATTCAAATTGTTGTCTGGAATTTGGTAGCTAATTAACTGACACAAAGCAGAGCCAAAAGCCTTATAACAAATCAAATATGGGTTGAAAGCACAGAAGTGTCCCTTCATGCTTGTCACATGAGAGGTTGTCATTGCAAGTTGAAGCACGCATCTTTTCCTTTCCTCTTTCCTTTCCTATTTTTCCCCCCTCCTTCAGGGTTTTAATTATATCTTTTCCCTCGGAGGAGCAGGAGGTAGTTCGCAAAGCCAAGAGACCAAAGTACTTCAGTGCTATTCAGGGGAGAAGTGAATGTGGTCTCAGCTTGTCATCTAGATCTGGCAGGTGCACAAAGTAAGCTGACATACAGCTAAGTGCCACTCGCCATTGCTGCACTGAGGCGCTAGATCCTTTTCTCTGTGTGTGTGTAGAATTATCTGACAAGGGAATCAACTATCCTAAAGTCTCTTCCAGGAGCCTGCTACAAAAACACTTCTTAAAATCTGCTTGACACCCACAATGAAACCGTACATAGATTTTAACAAGTACATGGGACAGGATTAGGTGGTCTCCATCACTTGGAGCATTGGGATGGATGGAGACAAGTGGTACACAGTTAAATGGAGTTGAAGGTGTTGCTGTGCTTCCTTGGCTTTGTGTTTGCTTTCTTTGTGGGCACACACGCCTGCATTTGTGTGTCTGTGCAGGTGTATTTTACAGACTGTGCATACAAATGCGTCAAAATCTATCTTATTCCTCTGCATAATGCTCTGTTAATTTGAAAAGACCATTTTGGTCTGTTTTCATTGTAGAAGTGTACTGACTGTGCTACCGCCCAATTTCACATAGTATTAAGATTCCAAATTTACATTTGGGAAAATTATTCAGTGGCTACTTCTTTCTTTCAGAATTGTCCTCAGGAGTTGCATTGCTTCTGCTGTTTTTTTGCTCTTACTGATAGTAATGAACATGTAACTAAATTATGGGGAAAATAATGTGTTGTCTTTTTTGTCTTTCTCTTCTTCAGTCACTATGAGCAAGACCGGAGTGCACTTAAGCGGAAGGAATGGGAGAGAAGAAACCAGGAAGTCCAGCAAGATGAAGATCTCTTTGCTTCAGGTTTTAACCTCTTTGGGGAACCCTACAAGGTAAATTGCATTGTTATGCTTTACATACTCAGAATGTCTTTTACCTGAAGGGCTTTTACAAATACAGATAAAGCTTCTCATCACCTGTAAGAAAAATAAAGTATCAAAGCTACCTTGGTACTTAAACTCCTGAATACACTGATTATCCAAATCAGCATATGGCAGCAGAGCAAATGGAATGCTCTGCCCAACACTGCATACTAGCATTGACAAAATCAGGAATTTTGGTTACAGTCCAGTTCAAGATTTATTCCTCTAAACACACAGCAAAGTCCTGCAATAGAAGTAGGTACAGCTGATACCTCTACAAGTGGGTTTTTACTTACAAAGCTAGCACTTAGTCTTTTTATTTTTAAGAAGAAAATATACCTGAGTTGTTAAAACCAATGTCCTCTCTATAGATAATGAGTCCATAAGCTTTCTTGTGCAATCATAACCATCCAAAGAAGTCTTTTGGGAGCTTGTCTGAATCTTTGGGGAGCATAACAAGGCTATGAAAGCGAATTATGACAAGTCTTATTCTCTCTAAGGAGCTTTGCTGCCTGAGATTTTCATCACCAAGGGATGTCCCCCTTTATGATTTCTGCTGCTTTGATTTTCAGTAAGACATTCCCTGAAGAATTCATCAGAATGTAAATTTCCATATTTCTTTCTCCTCCCAATCAGTGACATCCATTGAAAGGCCACCACTTCATCTTTCCATTTTACATTGTTAGCAGCTGTAGGGAGCATGAGGGCTCTTTGAAAATTGCCCGTAAAGGAGGAGGAAAAGCTGGCATTATTATCAAATGGTGTCTAATAATTACAGACTGTGAGACTGTGACGGATGCACTTGACTCTTAGCTGTACTTTGGTTTGGGCTGACTGAGGAGCAACAGGCCTTGCATCCTTGGGGTGAACTTGTGCACTGGAAAGCCCCTGGCTCGTGTACAAGAGAGTGAAGGTGTCACAAAAAGTATTTCAAAAGGTGGCTTTGAAACCCAAAAGTGCAAGATAACGGTAGTACAGGACAAGATATCAGAGCTAAAATCTGTCTTCTCTGTATTATTGACTATCAGCCATCCACTTCGCGCTATAAATACTACCGTCAAGATGGGCCCAGTTTGAGCTCTCCTGGAATGGCAGCTGGACTGCACACCAGGTGACTCTCCCCTGGATTGGGGATGCTCTCAAGGGTGGAGATTCCTTACCTGAGACTAAGAGATCTTAGCTTAACCAAGGCAGACAGATCCCTTACCCATGACAGATCCTCAGTAAGTGACTGGTAGCGTGCTGAACTAATAGTATGAAACATTACTAATCCATGTAGCTACTCAATATTATTGTAAATATTGTATGAATAATTCCATTAGACATAAACTGTTGACCAAGTCTGAGACTAAGATTGGATCCAACAGCACCTAGCCTCCAAAAGGTTGCTAGAAAGCAACCTCATAGCTCAAAGGAAGGGTCCTCCTTCCTTTTTGCATCTCTGGTCTCTGTGTGAATCATTCTAATTTGATTCTAATTCCATTTTCCTTTGTATGTTTCTTCCATGCAGTAATTAATAAGATGAACCTTGCCATCAAACTTACTGAACCTTGTCAAACCACTGCTAAACTGTGTTAAATGCCATCAAACTTATTGAACTCTGTCAAATTATTATTTTACATATTGCTGCTTTTCTCTTTTGAGTGAGGTGCATTCGACTTATCTGTGACAGAGACTTATGCACCCAAATAAAGACTATGCACTAGGACAGTTTGTTTGTGGGATTTTTTTGTTTTGTTCTTGTAAAAGTCTAATCAAGGTACTATTTCTGCATTGCACCACATTTTAACAACATTATTTATGAGAATAATAACTTATTATGAACTGATTTTATTAAGACTTCATGCAGGTAGTGTCAAAGGAAACATAGGTGATCGTTGTAGTTTTGGACATGTGCATGTTTCTACATTGATTCTTTGTAGTATGTGTATATATACATGAAAATAAATATTTATTTCTGTGGGTGTATAAGATACATTAGTACTTGCTCATTAGAAGATAAAAAACATTCTTTTGAAGATCTGCTGTCTTATGTTTCATGTGGGGAAACAAAACCTTTGACAATGTGGTGACATCCAGCATTATTGGGCTGGTTGGGCAGTGAGGGCTCCGTTGCCATTTAACGCAAGTGGGTTGCAGGTCTTGCCCTCAAGCTCTGGTGCAACCTGCTAATGCTTGATTTCAGAGAAGGGATCAGAGAAGAGCCTGCAGTTTTATGGCAACAGATATTGAAAAAACAATGTCAGTGTTTTCCTGAGCGAAGCTGTAATTTTACTGCTGGATTGTTGATACCTTTTACGTTTTGAATTAGTAAAGAGTTTAAGAGATGAGTATTTTAGGGAAAACAGTGGCAGTATTTTTGTTACTTTTCAAAGGAATTGCCTCAGAAAAGTTGCATTTGAGAAAGAGAGCCCAACGGGCAGCATTTCCATCGGGGAGCCTTTGGTGAATGTTAAATCATTTATCTTTTTCAGGTAAAGCCCCTCCATGCTGTTCAGGCTTAGCATAAAAAAAGATCTCAGCTTCTAATCCATGGAGGTTAGTTTAACTACGAGGCATGAGAAAAGTGAATGAATTATGAAACCTCAAGTTTCATACAAATTTTCACAAAACCCTTGTAAATTGGGCCTATAAGTTTGAGTGCATCAGTTCTTTCCTTTGTAAAACTATAATGCAATAGCTAGCTAGCAAATTAGTCTTCCAATAGGATTCTATTACAGATCTTTTTTTGAAAGCAATAGAAGCAAATGTAGGAAGGTGTACATTTCCTAAATTAACAAGAGCCTACAATGAGGGGGAAGGCTACTAGCCATGAGTCACAAACCAGACGTATAATTTATGTCGTAGAATACTCAGAAAATGCTTCATTTCCTTGATACCAGCAAAATTGTGATTCAACATCTGTTCAGAAAATAAGATATTCCTTTTTCCTTTAAGAAATGAGCCAATTATCCAGAACGTGGAGGTAGAAATTGTCCCTAGTCTGGTAGTAACAAAGAGCAACCAGAAATTGTGACTGGATTTTGGGTTTGTCTTGCTGGTATCTATGCTTGTCAAGAATACTCTACCTCTCATGAGAGCCCTGAATTTGTTGAGGAAATAAAATAAAAACATTAATATTATGCCTTATGTCTTAAATGCCAGTAGTACACTGCACTGAGCTCGTTCATGTGATGCACAAATGTGGGCTTAGTTGTGTGTGCTCTCCTTTTGTATAAGCGTAAGTCAAATTACCTCTCACATTCACTATGTGGTTTTTGCTTTGCAGTCTGGTCCAAAGGCTATTGAAGACAGTAATAATCCTTCCATTGGCTTCAATAACTTTTGGATATGAGCTTTAGTGCACTTAAAATATGGCTAAGGATGTTTAAGTTAAATTAATCTCCATGCTTTTTAGGAAATACATTTTTTTATTAATGCTCCTACTAAATGACTACAAATAATAATACCTAACACATGGTGTCTTTCATCTCCAGGATTTGAACATTCTGTATAAACCAGAGTTAATGTCAAGCTAAGTTATATTTATCATTGTGACATGTAAAACAACGTAAGTTGAGAGAATCAGATCTCTCCAACACAGAAGTGATTGAAAAGCTCTACATTCAAATTAAAATATTGATTCCCTCTGTGAGGATTTAGGCAAGAGCCACATGTACTGTGCTGTGATGTTGAAGTGTTAAAGTGATGATATGTTGTTAGTACTTTTTTTTTTTTTTTTTTTATTTTTACATTCTGGAAAGTAAGCTAAATGCATCCTGAAAGTATAGCTGAACCAGAGGTGAAGGTTGGTGGTCAGGCTTTTTTCGATGCTTGTTTCCCATGTTCCCATGTGTTATCCCATAAGGAGTTAAAGTGTTTGGGGAAGGAGGAAACAGAACAAGTATGCAAGTGTTTAGACTTCGCATCATAATTCCTGCTGGGCCCTTAAGCACAATGGAATCTCCTTGTTTTAAATTTGGGGGTTGAACAGAGAGAGCCTGGTTTTGGCTGCTGCCCAAACAGCTCATTGTGCAACTCAGTTGAAGGAGACTGTTCATATACAAAGAGCTTATTCTTGGCTTAGCTAGAATATAATTTTTGCCACTAAAATGACCAACCTAGGGACTTAGTGAATAAAAGTGATTCGTGATTCTCCACAACTGGGATTATTAACTGTGTCAGTTAGGAGCACTGGCAAAATGTATATAGATGAGAACCACATTGAACAGTTAATTTTTAAATCACTGCCTCAGTGCAGTGGTAATATATGTTACAATCCCTGAGAATGAGCAAAAGGAAATTTGCATTTATTATCTACTTTTTCAACATTTTTTATGGTATGTGCAGTACTAAGGAAAAGAAATCTTTCTGCAATATTCTTCTCATCTCCTGACTAGTTCAGCAGTGGGTAATATAAGCAGATATTTCAGAAGAAATCCATGCATAGATTTTTTTCATCACTCAAAACTTCTGCTTAATACTTGAGGAAAATGGGATCAGTGGCATGGTAGGATCCCTGGTTGAGGAATGAACTGCAACACTCTCTAACCAAGCATAAGCTCATAGTGTTGCCTTTCCCCATCTTTATGGCCTGAAGTTAAGGCATGTTTGGACTGTGGCACTACATGCTGTATTGAGTGAAAAAAAATCCCAAAGATAAGTAAAAGTATAGTTTGCTGTATCCCGGAGCTACTTACATACACTGCAACTTCTTCGTTTAATTCCAGACTGGAGAAGTTAACCAACTGCTTGACCAGGAACTATAGTTTTGCTTTGTTTTTATCCTTTGAGTCTTGTAAAGTAATAAGCATGGGGAATAACATGTTTTAGTTCTCCGCTGGTCATTTCAATGGAACATAAAGGTCAATAAGAAAACTGGTACTTTGGGTCTCTGTGGGGTGAGTTAGAACAGGAAGAGAGAGGAAATTAGCTGCCTATTAATTATAGCTTCCAGCTTATTTGTCCAGCTTTTTACAAGTGAAAGGAAAAAGGACCAAAAAAATCCATTTCATGCTTCAAAAGAAAAAATATAATAGCAGTGAAACACAGATGAGTCAGTATTTATTTAATAATTACTGGAATTCAAAGAATAGCATGATTCACAAATACAACCAGCCTGCAGACAATGTAAGAATCCCGACACTTAAGAATGTGGCAATCATGTCTATTTATGTTCTGTAAGAAAATATTTTTGAATTATCTCTTATTTGAAGATACTGCAGCATTTGAGTGGGTAGAAGCTTTTTCTTTTCTGGATTCAGATGGTAGATACCTCAGGTCAAACTGAACCCTCCATAGAAAAGTAATTGGAGTTAGAGGGGAGTGAAGAGTTTGGCGCTATGTGTTTATTACAGACTACCCAGCTTCTATTTATGGCAGGACTATGGGTCAAGGGGCTGATAGAGCAATAATGTACTTAAATAAACTGTGTGATTGCAATTCAAATGCTCAGTAGCCAGTAATTGCACGTTCATGTCTTGCACGATATGAAATGAACAAGCCCAACATCTCTGACATAAAACCAGCTTATTTTGCTCCTAACATCCATAACTGATGCAATTTAAACACTTCTCTGAGAGCATATTTAAGAAAATGGGAAGCAGTATACAAGTGTTACTCATGCAAGCCTGTTTCAAGAGATTCTTTGAACACAGTTATTGATAGTTTTTTCTTACATAACATATGCAAAATGTAATTGAAATTAAATTAAATGTCAGCATGACACCATTAAACAGCTAACATTTGCCATCTTCTAAGACAACTATTCTGAGCAGTAACTTTGTAATCAGGAATTTACTCACTCTCTTCCTTTATTTATATTTTTGATATTTTAGACAAATAAAGGTGATGCCCTTGCAAACCGTGTCCAGAACACATTGGGAAATTATGATGAGATGAAGGACCTGTTAACCAACCATTCCAATCAGAGCCACCTTGTAGGAATCCCAAAGAATTCTGTCCCACAGACACCCATTGACAAAAATGAACAGAACTTTTTCCCAGAGCCAAGGAACAGGATGATCCCATCTCATCAGATCAGTGGCCACTCATCGACCACGATGCCTCCACCTTCTTCATTGTCATCTAATTCTACTTTGCTACACGGTCACCAGAGCAGCAGGAAGTCGAGGACAGACTGGTCACGTGGTGGTCACAACTCTAGTGGGGCCCAGCCAAGCCAATCCAGTAGTCAGCCGAGTCGGACAAAACATAGCTCTTCTCATGACCAGCCACAGGGCAGGTATGAAGATCTCTATAATTGTCAGAGCGAGCAGCATAAAAGTGGAGGAACTGAGGAAGCAAATTCTATGGCGGCATCTTCACATTCGAGGAGGCATACTCATTCAAAGTCAGCAGCTGGAGAACATACTTACAAAGAAAACAGTCATTCGAAGTCACCCACAGAGCTTGAGTTTGTAGGACATGGTCCTGGATCTCCAATTCCTTCCACATCTTTGCTATCTGCGAACAATGGTCTTTCAACTCAGAATTTCCCACCAGGACTTCACTGTAAAAACAGCATGGTCCAGCAGAAGCCTACAGCATATGTCAGGCCTATGGACGGTCAGGACCAGGTACCCAATGACTCACCTGAACTGAAACCTCCGATAGAAATTGAGAGTGGATATGGAAATCAGTCCTTTGGAACACTGCTGGAAGGAAAAGTGAACACACCTAGTTCGAAGAACAAAGTACCAAAGCTCAACATTCCTCCTGTTACTGAAGTAAGTAGTTTAAAATATCTTCTCTCTCTCGTACCACTTGAGTATTTCATGCATGGAATATTTTCCTCTGGAAATATGCAGTTCCATTTCCTGGAATTATGGTCTGAAACATTCCTTTTTTCTAGAATGTGCATGACCTCTTTTGGCAAAGTTTTTTGTGATAGTCCCAGTAGCAATATTTAATGAAGTTTAAAAAGCGTAGTTTGGAATGCTCACATTGCTTATTTCTGATTCATATGAAAAGGCTAGATTTCTGTTGGGTGTAATAAATTTATACCACCTAGAATTCTGGGCAGAGAACTTTAATATCTCAGTTCATCTGCAATTTTCACTCTTGCATTTTCAGTTAGGAGCTAGTTTGATAGGAAGATTGCTGTTTTATCTCTAAGGAAAAATGGCAGTGTTCAAATTTCAGTGGTACTAAATAGTTCTACCAGCAAGGAGTTTATTTGCAGAGTTTGCTAAATTCCTACTGCTTTTAATGGAATTAATGTGGCTTAAGTTCTGAGTAATGCTTATGAAAATGTGTCCCATTAAAGCTTTTATGCGTTCTGAAGAGCTCTTAATATCGGGATTCAGTCCCAGTCTCTGCTACCAACAGTTTAAGCTGTTGAATTTTGTATTGCTGGTCAGTACAGCAGTTGTGTGAGGAACATCTTAGTTGGTCCATATTCATGTCCATTCCAAGCACAGATGTAAAGTAAGGATACCAACTAAACTATTTATACTCTGTATACTTTTTCTCTAATTCTGAGTTTCTCTGAAGCAGTAACCTTTGCAAGGTAGGTTTATAGTGTACGTATGAGCAGAATTGCAATATGGGTTTTTCATAGCTTTCTGTTTCCCCCAAAATATTTTTATACTAGGAATGAGGAGCAATGCATTCTTAAACCACTTTATTGCAAAAGGTCAGTTTTTTCTATTGGAATAATTGTTTCAAGCCAATAATTTGTTTGACTATTTAAAAACTTGATGTTATTTATTAACATTCCAGGCAGCAACAAAGACTGATGTGTTTTGCAGTAGAGCTTGGAATAATTTTCTGGGAACTGCATCTGAAAACAGTAAAAGGCCTATTTATATCAAGTGGAAGCTGAGGGTTGCTTGCAGATGGTGTTTTATTAGAAAATGTATTTGTTAATAAACGTAGCTTTGTACAAGATTACTTTACAGATGTTTCTGTTTATTTTTACCTTAGGTTAAAAATCTGCTGATGTAGATGGCTTCATAGTCTGTTGCGATTTGTCGCTAGCATTGTTTGGCAAGTAAATAATTGCATGCAAAGGAAATAATGATGTTGCAAAAGCAAATACATTTTTTCATTTTTGCCATCTATTAGTACTACGAGTCAATAGAGGTACTTTCAAGTGCAGCATTAATATGAAGTATTTTTGGGAATAGGATGTACCTTTTGCAACTTGAATCAACTATTAAGAATGCATTTTTTCTTTCCTTAATTTTTGAGTGAAATCCTGGCACTGTCGAAATCAACTGGGTTGTTAGCGATGTTTTTTGGGCACAGGATTTCACCCACAGTCTTTTTGCGTAGTTCTAAGAACCTCTGATGTGAACTGTTGTTTTTGGAAAGATTCCTAATCACACAGATGAAAAATTGCATCTTAATTTGTTGCTATAGCTGCTTTAGTTTATATCCTGTGTAGTGAAAAGTATAGGTGCATAATTAATTTCATTTATGATCAAATAAATGGTAAACTCTAGGCACTTTAGAAATGAATGCAGATAATAATCTTAAAACAGTCTGCGTTATAAGAGCGAGCAATAATTTGAAGAGGGAAAGAAAACTCAAAACTGCATTAAGGTGGCAAATAGCATAGAACATATGACAATAGCCAGAGTGGTGGATCTTTTACAGGCAAGTCTCCTCCTGAGTTTGGAGGTTTGGATTTTTTTTCGACTGTGTCAGGACTGTGAACTTTGGCCCTGTGTGTTTTTCCACAGATGTGTATCCTGAATTTGATTTACCCTGCGTTCAGCAATAAAACTCCTTCCAATCCAACGTTATAGATAACTGGTTTAGTTTAAGCTTAATCAGAACTGACAGTGCACACCTGTGAAACCCATAACCTTTTCAGAATGACTGCAGCGAGTGGCTCTGTTGTAATCTTTATACAATTGATGTGGAGGCTTATGATCCTTCGGTGGTGCTTATCAATTTATGAACCTTCCCTAGCCACCTTGAGCTGTAGTGATCTGCTTGAAACAATTTTGCTCCTGCTCCACAGGTTTCCATCCTAACACTGTTCCAGGTGGTGGTGGTGATCTTCTTCAAATTAGCAGTAGGAGAATTACTTTTTTGGGGATATTTTTCTGTAATTTGTTCTATGGCTCTCCTCTGTCTTTGAGTCCATTTTTTCAGATTTCTGGGTGTAGACATAGCGACTGCACACCAAACATTTTTCAGTAATTTCTCTCAAAATTTTGCATGCTCTAGATGAGGAATTCTGTGAAGAAATAAAATTCCTAGGTGATGACGGTTCTGCAATAATGGCATCTCTTAAGAAGTGTGAAGTTGTAAAAGAGAAAGAGAGTTTTTACTATCTTAAGGAGGGCGAGGGGAATAAGTAACCAAATATTTGAACAAGAAGATTTAAAAGATGAGTTGAGACTGATGTGGAAATACCGTCTCATTTATCATGGCTTAATGGAATAGGATGTTGAGTGCCCTGGAAGCATTCTGCCATGTGTAAGGAAGTGATCAATTTTATAACATAATTTGTGTCACTTGAGGTGTTGCTCTAAGAATCCTTGCTCGTTTGCTGGGCCCAATTCTGCCCTCAGAGATGCCCATCCATCTTTCAGCTCCTCCGGAGTGGACAACATTGTTAATGCCTTGCTGCTGGCATGTCTCCACTGTGCAATGCATTGTGGTTTAGTGATTTCTGAGCTTATAGAGATTCATGGTAAGTTTCTACAGACTTACCAGACTGGGTCAGGGTGTAGCGTTAGCAGCACTTCTGCACCCATGGACTAATCCTTGCCTGTGAGGGGATGCTCTTGTGTGACTTCAGATCTTGACTCACCCACACAGAGCTAGTTCAGATCCATTTGCGCTGTGAGTGGCTGTATCTGGTGGAGAAAGAGGAAGAGGAGAGCCTCTGTAGCCTTTTAGTTACATCCTGTAAGGATTTCTTTATGGTTTTGTGATCCGTTTGATTTCTTTTACCTTCCTCCTCCATTTTACTTTGCAACATTTTTATCTAAGGGTAAAGGTAAAAAATCTTAGTGTTTGGCACCTTGGGCAAAACCCAGTGCCCCTTGGCTTGCCAGCTTCCGAGATTCAGAAATTGTGAAGCAGACCTTTCAGAACTGGGAGGCCATAAGGGCATTGTGTGACTTCAGGGGGACACGCAGAAATGCACCAGATATCATGACACAGAATTGATAACAATGACCCTGGAGCCAAAACTTATAGAAAAATTTATAGAAAACTTCAAACTGTAAACATTATTTCCTGGTCTTTTCTAATTAACTCTCATCTCTTTAGTCCATATTTATATACATAGTTACATACATTTCCATATTAATTTTGAGCTTGCATTTAACATTTAGTAAACTGTGGCAAGTCTGTGACATCACAAAGAGCTTTTGCGTTATGTAGAATTCCACCTACTTAAATATATGGTGGGAGATGATTGTTACTTACCACTGAAAGAGACCTGTGTTGTTAAATCCTGCACATCTCTTAAAAAAATTAGAGGTAGGAGTACACAAGAACAGCTGATCCTCTCTCTCCTACATTAAAATCCAGAATCTTTATACATGTATGTATATTTAAACCTCTAGGAATCAGATGCTTAGAAATTATTTCAAATTGACTAACTCAGCAGGAGATAGCTGAAAGAAAGCCTGTACTTTTCAGATTGGGCTCAAACACAAATTACTGAGAGTACTGAGTAAAGCAAAGGTTGTTAAGGTCTCTGGGAACATCAGAAGTTGCATTTCTAGAAAATCTTACGTGCAGTTTTCCAGAACAATGCATGGATTTCCAATAAATGTTTAGGGATGGGAAATCAAGGGCAATTGAGATAACATTTGATTCGCAAGGCAGAGTTTTTAAATCTCACTGCAAAATTGGCCTCACGTTCCTACAAAGTAGCAAATGCTCATATAACAAATTTTCCCAAAAATACAAAGCTAGGAACAAATCCAAAAGGCCTACAACATCTATGTCACCACCCACTTAAGTAATAAAAAATAGAGAACTTCTATTTTCTCTTTACTTCTAGGAAAATATTTTGACGGGTTCAGTATACTGCAAAGTGATAAGCTTCTGTTACGTGTTTCAAATCATTCTGTTATCGCTGCATGTATTGATCAGCTTAGTACTTTCTGAGCTAGCTATAAAAAAGGCTGCTCTCTTTCTGCATTAAAGAGCAAGAAAAATTGACAGGTAGATAACCATATTGATTGAACCTAAATAGTAAATGCAGGAGGCTTATATATGACTTATAAAACTCTTTATAGGAACCAAAGCCAGTTTAATATAATAGTTTCTTTTTTTTAATTAAATGGAAAGTAGATGTCTTTAATTAACCACCCCCTTTTTGGTATACATGCTACTCTAGTTGCCAACATTACCACAGTGCCTACATTACCACAGTTGTGGGCAAATCACTTTTTTTCAGATGCAGCTTTAGCTGTCCCCCAGACTTCGAGCTCTGAAGAAGAATGGACTGAATCACGCATTAAGCTGAAATCCCTTTGCTTGGTTCATATTTCAAAAGTCTGAGGCCAAAAACAAACCCAAAGAGCAGTATTTCTTGCAGTATTACAGGTTACAGCCATGTGTTTTTCATTTGTAAATACTGTGAGAAGTAATGTTCTTGTGATACTTCTAAATGAAGACCATATGACACCACTCGACTGAAGACTTCTTATTGTGGCCTTTCTGAGGCTACTGTCCGATTGCTCGGACAATTGCTAGTGAAGCTATTTTGCAGGGCTAGCAAGAGAACAACTTGCTTATTTTAAATGAAACA